TCAGGGGATGAAGAGCATTTTGCAGACAAGTTTTTCCACTTTTGTCACTCTCCTCTCTCTTGTCACCTCCTTCATTTTGCCCTTCTGTCACTCTCCCTCCCCTCCTCATCTCTTTCTCTCGTCTGTCTCGGACTTCGCTCCTATTCCTCTTTGCCTCGCTCTCAGCATCCCAAAGTCCAACTCCAAGTTCATATCGGTCATTATAACCCCACAGAGAGATATTCACCTCCACTAAGAGCTCATCTCTCTCTGTCTTTCTCTGAGTCCAGCTTCAGTCTGATCATTATTAGTCCTGAGAGACAAATTATTGCCCTCGTGTCCCTCTGACACTCTCCTTACCTCTCTATTCTTTTCATCTCTGTCTTGTTCCGTCTCACCTTTTTCATTTTCGGCTGCTGCTCCACCTTTCCTCCTTGACCTCTCTTGCTCTTTTTTCACCTTTATACTTGTACTTTCTCTCCTAAATTCTTTAATCTTCATAGAACTACTATAGAGGTCATAAAGTCATAGATTATGGCTTTTTTTAAAATCATGCTGCATATATATTTATAAAACCCCAACAAAAAGATGACACCCTTTGATCAAGCAGAGAGTGACATATAGACGCATGGTGAGTACAGAAACAGTGCATCATGGGAAGCCTAGACCTATTGCAGCATAACTAAGGGTCACCTGGTCTAGCCCTAACTGTAAACTTTATCAAAAGGATTAAATGCAGACTGACAAGGCCCTGGGAGATGGGAGTTACTGATTCTGCCATGACCAGGTGCTGATGGTTATCCTAGAGTCACACCAGAGAGAGGTTACAGCAACATACAAACCAAGCAGGAAGTCTTGGTGGTTGAAAGTCAACCTGTGCAGACAAGCACCGTAATGTGGTTCTTGTGTCAGATTTATTTCATTGAAGCAAGTGGTCCTGCTGGAATTGACCATCCTTTTGGAAGACCGGATGGGAGAGAGGTGATAAAATAGAACCACGTATAAGGAGCTCACAGGTGACTGTCTAAGCAGGGAATAGAAGCCCGATGCTAAGGTTTTGCCAACTTTGACCTTTCAACACCGACCTTGAGAGTCAACAGGACCCTCAAGCTTCTGGGGATTAGATGATGGCACAGCAAGAGAGCCATCAGGTGTTATTAGCGTTGCTGAAAAGTTAGAAAAAGTAAAATTTCACCTCTAAATTGTGTTTTCTTACCCCTCCCGATGCAAGTGCATAATCACGTAACAGCTGCTGTTTACCTCAGCTATCAATGCTGGGTGAGAAGTGTCAACCTTTATTTGCTCTGGAGGAGGCTGCAATACTTTGAGAAACGAAACGAGGATATATCCCAAACTTTTATGTTGGTAAGTGCAACTGTTTTGCCACTGTTAGCCTCTGTTAGCTGCTGTTAGTGAAACATTCTTTCAAGAGGATCAAACAATGTTGGACTCAGACACTTAGTGAATAAACTCTCATAAAAAGTGAGAATGTCACACTGTTTATCAGAGGGTAAATTAGAGTTTTTAGGACACTTAAGCCAAATATTACCCAATGATGTTAGCTTATAACCAGCTCTTGGTGTTGTTTAACTTACTCATTGTCATCTTTCCGCAGATCCACACATGGAACAGTCACATGTCTAATATGCTGACAATAAGTAATTGTGACAATATTGAGAATAAATGAGCATGTTTATGCACATTTTCATGTGTCAGAGCTCTGACTTCAGTTCAGGAGATGAGGCTTGAGGTGAGGAGGAGGACGATGACATTTTGCTTCCCCTTCTATTCTTTAGAGAAGGTGACTGTTTCTCTGATGATAAAACATAGGCGTGATCCTTCATAACTTGAGTCTGCAGTTGTGAATTAATATTTACCTCCATAGCACGTTGACGCCTATGAGTTTTCATCTCCTAGTACTACGTATGTGGCCGTTCTTTAATCACAAGTAAAACATGACTGAGCAGTGATGCTCGTCTCATCTAAGTTTATGATGCATCAGTTACACACTAATCAGTGCATATTTTTGAGTACAATAAATTTTTTCATTAAATAAACATAAAATGAGTGTGCCTTTAAAGATGTGATGTGCTTTATGCTTGAGTTTTTGTTGCCGTCCATGCAGCATTAAGACAATTTAAACATCCCAAACAAAAGTAAAAATAAATGCACAGAAAAATGCCTTCCTACTTTAAGTGCAGTGAGGGATGGAAGACAGAAAACAGACTTCTTGTTTCTTAAATCTAGTGTCAAGTCAGAAATAAATCATCCAAAGTTCCTTTCTTTTTTGTACTAATTTCCCTCTTTTGTTTGTTTTGTCGGTGCGACATCTCGGTCCCGACTGAAATGATTTGTCTCATCAGAGTAAAAACAGAACATATCAGACTTTCTGTCAGTCTGTGCAAAGTAAATCTGGATTTTCAAACATTATTACAAATTTTAGCGAGCTCTTCTTTCTCCCCTTCAGTATCATCATCTTCTCTCACTCTGTGTGTTTCTCTCTCTTTTCAGTCTCCCTTTCATTCAGTCAGGGTTTCTCAGTGTAATGAGATTACACGGGATTATAAAGCTCCGTCTGTCTGTAATCCACACCACTCAATCCCATTTCACTGCTTAAACACACACACACACACGCGTGTGAGTCTCTTTGATGCTGCACAGTGATCTCTTTTCTTTTAGAGCTTTTGCTTTCTTAATCCCTGTCCTCTTCTTTTGTCACATAAATGATCACCATGGGTCATTTAGCTTCTGTTCTCTTCCCCAGCTTCCTTTCCTCATCCTCTTGTTTCCTTTTCTATCTCCATTTTTGGGTTTTCGATTGTTATCATTCTCCCGACAGCATCCTTCCTCTCTGTTAAACAGAAAGACTAAACCAGTTTGTTTCTTTCATGTCTCCTCTTCTTATTATATTTTAAATGTCTGTGTTTTCATCCTTTCTCCTCTTTCCTGCCTTCCTTCCCTCCTATGTCCCTTCCCTCTTTACTACCTTCTTTCCTTTCGTCATCAATGTCCTTCCTTTCATGCTTCCTTCCTTCCTTCTTTCCTTCCACTTCTGTTTTCTCAGAGCGTTCTTCCAGCCCTAAACCTAACCTTATCCCTAGCCCTGACCATAACCTTATTCCTGACCTTAACCAGGACTTTAATGATGTTAAATAGCGTGTTTCTAAGCGATTTGAAGAATAAGAGCGAACATGTGTAGGTTCAGTCCAGACGGTTCTCATATTTCCTCTTTTTCCGAGGTCGTCATTTAGGAACGTGGTGGGTAGCCGAAAACGTAATATGGTGACGATTTGTCACCTAGCGTAAAATGTTACGCTTTGGGAGTGAGAACGGGTTGGTTTTCTTTGCCTTCCTTCCTTCCTTTCTCTCATTGTTGTTCCTTCTGTCCTTTTTTGTATTGTTACCTGCTGTTCCCTTCTTTTCATTTCCTTCCTTTGCTCTTTACTTCCAAACTGTGATTTCTTTTTTCTTCCTTCAGCCCTTCTTGTTGCTACCGATTTTGTTCCCTTCATTCCTTCCTTCCTTTTGTCCTTGTTTATACTTTTTTCCACATACTTCCTTTCTCCTTCCTTCCTTCTACACACCTCTTTCTTGTCCTTACTTTTTCTCCCTTCCACTATATATTTACCCTTCCATACTTTTCATTGCCCTTCTTTACTTATGTTTATTGTTGTTCTTTCTGTCCTGTTTTATTATTTATCTTATTCTTCCTCCCTTCCCATCCTTACCAATCTGTCTTTGTTTTCCGTACTTTTTATCATCACCTATTTTGTTCTCTTTCTTTCTTCCTTTCTTACACTGTCTTGTTTCATTCTTTCCACATCTGTCCTTCCTTCCATTTACTTTGCTGTCACCTCTTATTCCTTCTTCTTTTCTTTTCTTTACACCTTTGTTCTTTTTTTTTATCATCACTTCGCCTTTGCTCAGTTTGTTTCCCTTCTTTCCTTATTTTATTTGTTTATTTCACTGCTCTCCCTCTCTCTTCCCCCTCCATTCTTCCTTTCTTGTTCCTTCCTTCCTTCTTTTCTCTTCCTGTCATTCATTGCTTCCTTTTTGCCTCTTATTCCTCTTCACTTTGTTAATTGTCACGTATGTTGTTTCTTCCATCCTTCCTTGTCTTACTTTTTGTCTTTTTCCTTTTGTTTTCCTCTACTCATGTCCTCCTTCTCCTTCCTTATCACAGTTTTATTATTTCTTCCATCTCCCCTTCCTTCCATTTCTTTTATTTTTACCTGTCCACACCTTCACCTCATCATTTGATTTTGATCTTCCTTCCTTCTTTCCTTCCTTCCTATTGTTGTTCTTTTCATTCTTCTTTACGTTTACCTACATTATTCCCTAACTTTCTTCCTTTATTTCCTCCTTTCTTCAATCCTGCCTTAAATTTCCTTTTCCTTGTTTCCTTCATTAAATATATATTCCTTTCATTTTCCGTCTTTCCTTGTTGTTATTGTGACCTGCTATTCCTTCTTCCCTCCATCCTTCCATCCTTCCTTCATTCATTCCTTCGATATTGCCACCTATGCACACTTCTTCTTTATTTGTTTTTCCTTCCTTGTTATTTCCATTCTTTTAATCGTTACCTGTGTTGTTCCCTTCTTTCATTCCTTTTCCCTTTTCACCTGTTTTTCCTTCTTTCTCCCTCCTTTCTTCCTAAACCTCAGCTGTTCGCAGGTCATCCTGCACACGCACAAACACGCAGCATGTAATTAAAAAAAAAACTCGAAGAAGAAAAATAAAAAGTTCCCGTTAGAGACTCAAGCAACTCGTGAGAAAGTTCATGAAGCCGCAAAGCGAGAGATCTGACCGATACCCTCCACACATACACACACAAACACACATCAATGGGGGGCAATAAAGTCCTCCTCTCATTTCTACACCAATCATCTTCACAGTCCTACAAAGGACCGCGTCTGATTGGCCCAATGTTTAGTCAGTCACGCCTACAGGAGGCGGGGCTACAGCGAGGGCTGACCCGGACTCTGCTCCAGTCGCTTTTACGCACAGACCGGACAGTCCGCTTTCCACGCACGGATACCCGGAGCGAGAGCTCCTTCTGGATAGAACGAGAGGCGAGTGGAAGCTGAGGCGAGGAAATCAAAAATAGAAACGGAAAAAGTGAGTGGAAGCCCAACAGCAGAGACGCACAAGTGTTGTTTTTCCCTCTCCCAGCTGGACAGAGCGAGAGGACGAAAGAAAGTGCGTGTGAGAGTGTGAAAGCCTCAGTGCGTGCGCGCGTCTTCACCGCTGACCTTCCGTCATGTCGCTCCCCGGCTCCCCTCCGCTCCTCTCGCCGGGCTCGGGCGCCCCAACTCCGGTCGCGCTCTACCGCTCTGCCCCGGATGCGCTCCACACATCCGTCGCCTCCACCGGCACCTCCAGCCCGGCGCACACCAACTCCCACTCCCACTCCCTGTCCCCGTCTCCACGGCTCACCAGCAGCATGCTCAGCGCTTTCCTGCCTGGACCGGGAGGCGCACTGGCCGGCTTGGGGAACGGCGGCTCCACCGCCCCTCTGGGTCCCCTGAGCGGGTTGGGCTCGCTGAGCACAGCCGGCCTGACTCCGGGCTCCCCCAGCCTGGCGCAGACTTCGTCCGGCTCGGGTCTGTGCAGCGAGTGCAAACTGGTGGAGGTGCACGGCGTGAAGGTGGCCAGCTTCAGCGTGGACGGCCAGGAGCTGATATGCCTGCCGCAGGTGTTCGACCTCTTCCTGAAGCACCTGGTGGGCGGGCTGCACACCGTCTACACCAAGCTGAAGAGGCTGGACATCACGCCCGTGGTGTGCACCGTGGAGCAGGTGCGCGTCCTGCGGGGACTCGGCGCCATCCAACCCGGCGTGAACCGCTGCAAGCTCATCTCCAGGAAGGACTTCGAGACGCTGTACCAGGACTGCACCAGCGCCAGGTCGGTCCGCACTTTACGCACTTTTTCATATTTCAAGAAAAAAAAAACAAAAAGAGTTTGTCTAATTTTCAAACTTCTTCCAGCGTGATTGAATCGCGACATTTAGAGAACTCTGAGTCAGTTTAGCGGCGGTTTCATCCCCCTTTTAGGACTACAGCCTTGGATTGGCTCTGCGTCCGCACGTTTAAACTTGTGTACAAAGTGGTCCTGCAATATGTTTTTTAATGAAATGATTAAATTTACTGTGACAAGCATGTTTTTGGTAAAACACCGAGCTGTGGGAATCCTGATCTTTTGATATGAAGTTTTTCTGCAAAATCCTCCCGAAACTTTCCTGAAATAAATCATCCAGAGTCTTTCTCTTAATTTTATCCCACTCTTGTTTCTCTTTCTGTTCACAGCTCATTCATATTTCTATTTAGACTCCTGCTTCCTTTGCATTTCTCTCTCTCTCTCTCTCTCTCTCTCTCTCTCTCTCTCTCTCTCTCTCTCTCTCTCTCTGTGTGTGCTTCTAGGGTGCATTTTTATGACACTCTGCAAACATTTGTTGGAGGCTCGGGACTGTTTTTGATTAATGGTTATCTTCCACACTTCCTGTTCTGTTATCAGCACTGTTCCTTATTTTACTTTGGATGATGCTTTTACTGTATCGACTTTGGAAGGTGTGTGTGTGTGTGTGTGTGATGCTAAATGAGCACACAGACAGACACATGTTTCATTAGTTTGGTGTTTTTTTACAGGAACAAAAAGCTTATGGCAAACAAATGCAAAGTAAACAACCCGCTGCTTTGTCCTGTTTACACATAATCCATTACCTTATATCTCACCAGCAGATCTGTGTGTGTGCGTGTGTGTGTGCGCATGTGTGTGTGTGTCAGTGAAAGGGAAAGAGCTTTTCTGTGTCTTTATGTGGTGTATGAAAGGTTTTTAACGGGAATCGAGTGGATGTGTGTTGCAGAAATGCAGCATTGATGTGCGTTTGTGTGTAAATAGGCTTTTCACTGTGTGTGTGTGAATACTTGCTGTACACCTGCCACCTCACCTGTCTGAGCCCACAGCTTCTATTTAGCTGGCTTCAAGTTCAAACTCGAAAGTGTTTGTTTTTTTTCTCCAGTGGGTTAAATTTTGATGTGAATCCACAGAACGAAGCAAAAATAGTTCACAACACACATTTCAAATGATTTCAAAATAACTAAAGAGAAGTTAGAAGCTGCAATGAACTCTTTGGACTTGCTGTTGCTTCATTGCATTCACATTTTAAAAAAAATATTGTCACTAATATAGAAAAGATTAAATCAAGTTTTGTTCAGACAATCAAACCAAAGAAGTTAAAATATTTCTCCAGTTTAGCGCTGAGTAGAAGAGGCCTCACAGTTTTTAGAAATGTCTTTTATTTGCTCAGTTCTGTTGTTTTTAACTGTGTCGAGCCTCATTTACAGAACATATTGGAAGACGTTTAAATCAAAGTGTTTTTGGTTTTACATGATTTGTGTTTAGTTCTTCTTTTAGGCACCTCAAACTGAATTGAAGTGAATTCGTTTTGGACAGAAAAAAATGTAACTGCCACAATTTTTAAAAAACTTTTTGCAGCATCTCCTGTGAAATTTCCGATTTTCCGCACCCTCTTTAAACTCTGACGTTTACTGTTTTCCACAAAGATGACTTTAAGACTTTCTCCCCGCTTCTTTTTTCCCTCTTCATATATAGATTTAAAGTATTTCGGTTTTAAATTTAAACTTTAAAGATGTCGGGGAAATTTGACATAAAGGTTAAAAAAAATTGGTAATTGGTCATGTGAGAAGGACAGATGCGTTCTGAGTTCAGAAAAGCAGGTTTAAATGAGTTCATCACTCAGACTTGGCCTTTTTACCAAAATGGTCACAGAAGTTTTTCTTTTATTATTATTATTTTTAGCTGTATTTTGCTCTGATGGTCGTCTTGGAAAGAGTCAAGTGATCCAGTACCAAAGTTTAGAAAGATCACCTTCAGTCAGTCTGCGTTCTCAGTTTAAGTAAAGTGAAATTCATTCATTACTTAGAAAAACACTGACGATTTAAAATATTTAAAACCAGCCTTGAGTTCTGGCCAAACTCGTGCCGCGATTGTCGAGTTTATTTGATCACCTCTGCCGAGGAGCTCGTGCTAATTGCTCGGTTCGCCCGTCTGTTAGCGGGAATCTTCAAACCATCTACAACTCGTTGTGGATGGAACAGGTGGTGCTTGGCCTTTCTTAGAAATTAATATTTTCTTTTACCGCTGCGAGGCGTTTCACGTCAAATCTTCACAAATACAAATCAAATTACATCCCGAGATAATCTGACAACTCGGTTCGTGCCAAGAATTACCAGCCTGGGTGGGAGGCGCTCGTCCTCGGACTGCTCTTGTTCTTAATTTTACACTGATGGGCTCGTATGCATTGGGCTGTCTCATGCCATGTTTTTGTTGCTGACTCTGGTTGCATAATTTATTAAAGTTCACTGTCCCTGTGCAGGAAAAAAAACACTTGGCAGCCGATTTCTGCGCTTTGTGCCAAAATTTGCACTTCTGCTTATGATCATTACTCTGATGTTAATGTTTTCAATGTCAATCTCTTATAGACATCCATAAATCTGCTTAGAAATCAGACATAATGGCACACCTCACAAAACCTGGAACCTACCTGAGAATCATCTATAGGTTTACGTCACTATCAGTGTGATCCACTGCGAGCTGCCTGTACAAGCAGACGGGAGCTGCTACGTCTAGCTTTAATGAGACCAAACAGGCAGGCACACTGGACCCCATCAGCAGCTTCTCTGATGGCTGCGTTATTCTGGGGGAGGAATTTTGCTGGCCCACCTTTGCTCTGACCTTTATTGTGTGATAAAGCTCTTCTCCTCTGATGGGAGCGATCCGTTCTGGGGTGACACTGCCTCCCTATCCGTGGGGCACCAGAGATGACTGAAAGGTTTAATTATGATGGAATTTAAATCCACTTTTAACAACCTAAACCAAGTGCTTCACAGCGCTCTCCACGCTCATGATTGAAATGCTAAGTGTGGGAATCTTATTTGGGATAATGGTGCTCGATTCCCTCAGGTAGACTTCCACAGACTCGGATAATCAGTGCTGAGGAGGGGTGGAGGTGTTCTGGTGGCTGAGGATTTGAGGTGGATATTTACCACTAATACTGGAAAATGTTGGGGTAACGTTTGTGATAATCTCTGGGCTGCATCTCTGTCAGTGAGTTAGTTGCTGGGGTGGCGGTAGCTCAGGAGATCAAGCAGGTTATCTAATAGTCAAAAAGTTGGTGGTTTGATTGCTGGCTGCTCCAGTCTGCATCCAACATAGCCTCAAGCAAGACAGCAAACCCTGAGTTCCTTTCTGCTGCATCCATCAGCGTGTGAATGTTGGACAGAAACCACTTAGGTAGGAACAAAACTGCTTATATGACTGGGTGTCAAAGGAGAGTAGAAAAGCACTGTATAGGAATTGATCAAGTCAAACGTGGCTTGAGGAGTCTTTTAGTTACGGCTGTTTGGCCCGTTTGTAGCTGAGGCATCATCTCGGTGAAGAAGCGGGCTGTTGGGAGAACTTGCCTTCTGTGGATTTCATCTCCATTGTCTTCTGTCTCTTTGTGTAATCCTGGGCTGGCTCCATGATGTTGAGATCAGGGTGTGTGTGGGTCAGACCATCTGTTGCAGGATGATTTGTAGCTGAAGATGGTTAGTTTTTATGACTCCTGCCGAATGTTTGAGCGTGTCATCTCGCTGCAGAATGAATTTAGTACCAGTTGCCCCCGCTTTCTGATGAGAATCCAAACCTCTCAAGCGCCTCATATATTGCTGTGTTTCCAGAAACTCCTTAACAGAGAAAGAAAGAGAGACAGTGAAAGTTCACGCGAGGGCTGCAGCTGGAAGCGCAGGATGTCGTCTGCTCAGTTATTTTTGTTGATGGATGAACGGCTTTTTGTTTGCGCTCGTTCAGTATCGGCTAATAATTAACGGCAGATCATGTTGCTGTGGAGTCGCTGGACTGGTGATGAGTGGCCTGTTTGTTTCTTGTTTTTTGTTAAAGCTGACCACACACACTAGGTTACACTCTATTAAGCATGACATGTTCAGTCCTCTAGCTATTTCATAAAGAACAGAACAGGCAAGGTTCGTTTTACGACTTTGCCTAAATTCACAGGTGTAGTTCTGTTTTGGGCTAATTTTCTCTTCTTCCCAAACCTTTCTCCTCTCAATCTCAATCACCCTGCCTCCCCTCTCTTGCTCTCTGCTTCTCTCACACACACTCACTTTACACAGCGGTACATGTCAGGGGTAATAATGGATCATGCGAATGCACATGGAACAACACGGCTGGAGATCCATTGTTGTTGAACGCACAGCGAACACACACACTCCTCTCTCTCCAATCATATTGACATTCTTCTAATGCCTCTCGCTCTCTCTGTCTCTCACCCTCTTTAATGCCCCCTCCTCCCGGCTATTCCCTCCCTCGCTTAACATTATTGTCTGGGAAAAGAAAGAAAAAATTAAACGCTCAAAAAAAAAAAAGAAAAGAAAGAGAACTCCCACTGGGCTTCTGCATAGTTTGTCTTCTCTGTAACCCGTGTGTTTGTGTTTCTCTGTGAGTGTGTGTGTGTATAAAAGCAATCACCGCTTCTATCCACTCGTACCTCTGGTGTCGGTTTTGTTAACTTATGCCTTGTTTTGTTTTAATTTAAAGTGCTCTTGATGTTGTTTTTATTAAAGATCTGCCCTTTTATTGACGTGAAAGAAAAGAAACAGGAAAAGGAGACCTGATGCGCGCGAGTAAGAAAGTGAAACAAAGTTCCCACACTTGCAGCAGCTGAAGTCTGGCAAAATGAAATATGAGTTATTTAACTCATTCACTGCCATTGACGTCTATAGCCGTCAATGGCAGTGAATGAGTCAATGGGTTTAACTCATTCACTGCCAATGGCTGGCAGTGAATGAGTTAAAGGAGGTGACATCAGCTGCTTGTAACCTGCG